GGGCAAGTGCAACTCCTGCTACTGCTTCACACCCAGCCAGGTAGGTTAAGGACACCGGCAATTGCAGGGAAGAGGCTGACAGCTGAGATTAAAATGAAAGCTGAAGCTTGAAGCCTTGGCATAAAGGCCATGAGAGACCTCTCAGGTATCACTGCCTGAAAGCAAAACATGCAATTGCTAATTCTTCACTATAGCACAATGACTGTACCTAAACATCTCAGAGGGAAGAAACTGGTGATTTCAGACCATAAAACGCTTTGATCTCTCTTTCCAAATATAATATATCTATATTTATATAGATATATTTATAAGGCAATTTTATGTTTCCATCAGTGGAAGTCTAAACTGATAAGAACTTGATTACTTTGTAACCTTATAAAAGTTTGGTTAACTCTTAATTAGAAAAGGATTTCAGTTACATTTTAGCTAAATATATGATAATTCAAAAGATTTCATTTGCAACTGTTTCCAGTCTTTTTCTACTGCATGAAAAATTTTTAATCTCCTCAAATATAATGCCAGCATATCATGTCAAAAACATGTTGCAGTTGTCATGACATTATTCTGACTTCAACTGCAATGTAGGCTTCAATTGCAATGACTCCTTAATGTCCATGAGGATAAAAAAAAAACTTGGAAGAATTACATCTATATGAAAAAATAATGAGCGCACTTATGGTGAGGCTGTAAATAGGATTCCTACAGCAGTTATCATGTGGTTCAGTAGCCCACATGAGCAGGATTTAGAGATCTCTGGACAGCCCTCAGCATATAAATGTACAATGAACTCAATCAAAACTAAACAAAAGTCTTTTCTGCACTTCATGGAAGCATTACAGAGTGCACTCACTTCCATCATATATTTTCTGCTCTTATTTGTGTCTAAAATTTAAATCTGTATGGTTAACCTGACAATGCTCTAGAGCCCTGTAGTTACATACACACCAGCTTAAGAACTTGGTTGGATATAAGGATGTTTGAAATAATTTTAACAGACTGAAGCAGTGATTCATAAATTCAGAGAGCACTGTGTAATTCATAACTTCCCTTCGTATCATTATTGAAACCACATACATACAACCAAGAGATAAATCATTATACATTTTGCTGCAAAATGTAATTCAACGCAGAGAGAGACACTTGAGCTCAGCAGCAGTTTCTGCTGAACAGCAGCCAAGTACATTTCCCTCCTGGCCTCTTTTCCCCTCCCTTTCTTTCAGTTTTTTGCAGTATCAGTAAATCTCTTGTAGCTTCTTTCTTCTGGTATCATGTAGGAATGCTTCCTGGATTAGCATCGTCACTCACTTATGTGGTTATTTCCAAAAATGGGTAGATGTATGTTTTAGGTGTAAATTCCTAAAGAACAGATAGAATGTAATTGCTTAGAATATTATTCCACAACTTATTAAATTCCCATGCATCCACTTCAGAGCTCTCCAAAGAAACATGCCCACGTGATATGAAATAAATGATCAGTTTTAAGTTTACAAGATCAAAGTTCACAAAAAAAAACCAAAACCAAACAACCCACAATTGTAAGTTCAGCACAATTTTGAAGTTTTGCTTTGCCTTCTTTTACAATAAATGCCAAAAATGTGGTACAAACATCTTGGTGCCTCCCCCCACCCCCCCTCCATCCTTCCCTAATACAAAGTGTCAAGCATATCTTGCAAGGACTGGGCATTTGTCACTTCTGAACATGCAACCTGCTGAAAGATGCTGTAGACAGCTGCTGTAAGCCTGAAATCACAGTATGGTAATCACCACTCTGAACAACTGATACATACCTTGGTCAATCAGTCAATTTAAGTGCAGAGGTCCATCTCAGTTACACCTGAAGGAAATTAGCTAATGCAATAGACATTATTTTATATTCAAAAACACGTAGCCAACTTTATTTCCATTACTGCTTTTCCTGAGTATCCAAAAAGCAAAGCTCAGCTGGCAAACTGTGCTTTCACTGATCTGTATGTAATCTAACAAAGCAGCTGCACTCAGCAGGAACAGAGATTTCATCAGACAGCTCAGTAAAAACTCTTCAGAGCTCTAATAAAATCCTTAAAAGAGAAGATTCTGAAGCAAGAAATTAACTTCCTTTAAGATACCACGATAAGCAAAAACATTCAATACTTGGGATCAAATTACTGATGAGAGGAAAGAGAACACCACTTTTAGTCATTGTGTCATTTAAGAGGAGAGGGGATTGCCCTCTGCTCCAGGAAGGACAGATTCCACCGGCCACCCGTTCTCTTTCTGTTACTTCACAAGTACATGCAGGACCATGGAAACGATCCTTTAAAACACAAGTACCTTGCATTAAAATATTAATTTCCAACAACTTAATAAACGTTCTGTGAATACAAGAAATACACACACATATTTTATCTCTGAACCAATCACACTTATTCTAGAGCTAACACACTGCAAGGAAAATTTAAGACAATACTAACAAAGTTAATTAAATCAGCACAGTTGACAAGTTTTAAATACCCAGGGATTTGCTTCAGGATTTAAAAAAAGCAAAGTGTGAAAAGTCAAACCTATCCAAAGTAGATTGGCTTTCAAAAGCCACACTGAGAGTTCCAAATGCTTTATGTCCAATTGACGCCTACACAACAAGATATCAAATTTTAATGGAAATCACTAGCTACAGTAATAATTTTAAACAATGAAAACCCATGCAAAGATCTAGAAAAATGAGAACAACACACACTGAGACTTAGCAGAAAGGCAGTAAGAAAAACACAGAAATGACATAGCTCAATTCTTCTGAAAGTTCCCTTAAAACATAACCTATTAGCCCTAAGATAACTAAGGAATCTATGAAGTATTAGCGTACGGCTGCCAAAAGTCAGATCAATCCCAATTTAGCTTGATCTTGAAGTAATTGCACATGTATCTGAACAATCCCACAGGATTTTTAGTCTGTTCCATTTTGCTTACTTATATTGCCAGTCTCCCACAGAAAGGATTTTTTATTTCTGTTCATAGCCACTACCGGTACTCTACCAATAAATACCAATCATAGCAGCATACTTCAGTTTTAAAAACTGTTAAAACAAAATAAAAAAGAATTAAATTATATTGATGCTACTTAATACTCAAATGGCATAATCCCACATTTTAGTCCTAAAAACAGAAAGCTCCACCCAACAAAAAAAATCCCAAACTCCTGAACTTTTATTGCTTTTCCATGCATCTCTTGGTTCGGTGCAGCAATATTGCTCATTTTTGCCTGCTAACCAAGTCTTTCCACAACAGCAGCAATTGTCATTGCCACTACTATTTATTATATACATATTACACAGGATGGTATGGCTTTTAATCCCTGTTAAATTACTTTAAGTCTGCAGTGATTTTATTAAGTCAGTAGAATTGATGTCACTGAGATCATGATTTGGCCCAGTTCTTTCTCATGTCATTTAAAGATCACTGCAGCTTCTGAGCACAGTGGCACACATTTTACACATTCTGTTCTTTGCAGAGAGGCACGTTTTGACTATGCCACTGTTTATATGCAACTGCTGAATTTGAAGCAGGTGACCTAATTTACTGTAACAGAAAGCAATGCCCAAGAGTCTGATTCCAAACTGCCACGTACTTTTATGAGCTGGACCAGAGACTGTCCCCAGTCTCTTGCATCATTTAATGCCTAGAAACAGTTCTTTCAGTAAAATTTGCCAGAACTGTTTGCATCCTGCATATGCCAAACTGAATAGGGATCCAGACTTTTGTAGGGACCACAAAATTGCTTTTAAAAGAAGAAAGAATTTAATCTATGCATTTTGATTTAATAGCAAGTACTAGTGCTTTCCATTCTTTTCCACAGTTCAAAATATGAAAAAGGGAGTAATTTTATAAAGTAAGGAAAAAAATAAAGGAAGGTGAGAAACATTATACTTTTTATTTTCTCCGCATAGCACCTTACTATTGCATTCATTTTCTAGGGAAACAGGTGATTCATTTCTTAAATTAACTTAGGATATTTGCTGAATACTCTGAAAGTTTCAGGAAAGGCTGTCATTTAATCTCATTTTGGAGTTTAGGATCCTAGAAAGATTAAGAGTCTTGCTGAATAAGTTGTGACTGGAGATGTTTCTCTTGCTGTTCACATCCATGCCTTCTGATGGGCTGTGTCTTCAGAGTTATGCTTTTCAGCCTCCAGTGGCAGAACCCAAAGAATCCCAAGACCACATGTATTAGTTCTGAGACAGTAAGAAACCTGCTGTCATCTGACTTATGTTTGTTCTACAGGAATTGAAAACCTCTGGTTTTAAGCTAAGTCATGCCAAATTGTGAATGGTACTTCATGTACCTTTACATGTTTAAAGGATCCCATTTTGTATGAAGAAGAGTTCAACTCTGATAAAACCCACTGCTCTACTCCCTGTCACGCATTCTCCCATGTTTTGCCACTGTTATTCCTTCTTCCCTGGACATTTCACACTCCTCATGTTTACCTGTGATTCTGTTACCTAGGGTTAGGTGAAAGGCATAAGGAGGCAGACCACTTAACATCTCCTGACTAGAGGGAGATATTTAGTGAGATCTACTACGAATGTGCATCATGAAGCCATAACAATGGGCCTTGTCCAAAGTTAAGTCCATGCTATCTGTCCATAATCTAAGTTTGTGATTTTCCCACTCAATTAAACAGTGAGCAAAGGAAAAGTAATTTAATAAGCCCCATTTCAATATCTACTGATTTCAGTTCAGTCATTCTTTTTATCCAGTACAAGAATCTTGTAGCAAACACTTATTTCACAGCACCTACATAAAATAAATCTAGTATCCCAAAAGTAAGCACTTTCTTTCAAGAGCTGCTAAATTACCAAACTCTCATATTCCTGCTTGAAAATAACAATCTTCTTTTTTATTATAAACTAATTCAGCCAAGGTTTGGCCAATTGCTTGTGCTATCTTTATTATCCTTATATTTGAAACTGATTTAAGTGCTGGTGGTGGCTTTTCTGTTGTTTTTTGTGCTTTTTGTAACTTACCTAGTAGAGATTGAGAGTTAACATCCCTTTTTCGGGTAAAATGTCCTCCGGGGAGATCCTTTGCCATGACAGCAACAGTGGAAAGTAGAACGTGCCCAAACAGCAGAAAGTAGCATGCAATCATTGTCTTCATTTTCAAGAAGTAGAGGGACATTCAAGGATGCAAAACTGCAGTAAGGAGAGAAAGAGATGAGCTCTGTAATTTGAGAGAAAGATACACTGTAACCATTCCAATCATCCAACTGAAATGCTTCTGTTTCATCATGTGCCATCACACAGATATACCACATACCCACACTTTCAAGAAATTAGATACAGAACTTGCATAAGAAATATATTCCAGAAACAGCAGCAATAAATGTGAACTGGCAACCACTCACACTTTTCTTTCAGAACACTGTCCTTTGTTGCTAGCAAGAAGATAAGCATGCAGATGGAAGTCGTTTACTCCAGAAGGCTTCCAAAGACTGGCAGTAGCTTGCCAGAAAAGTTTTTTCATAGAGAAGTATAAATTTTTTTACAAAAAAAGGAGTTTGTTAAGGGCACCATCAAAAGCCATGGCTGACTCTGCCCACAAGCAGAGAGCTAAGAGTCACTTTCCAGCCATGTCTGCTGTACCTGACATCCTCGAACGTGCTGCCTTCCCCTAAACCATTACTGTTGCATGCTGTGAAAAGGCCACTCACAGTAGCCTGGAATGGTGATATGATGAATTTTGGTCAGAAGTTTCTCTAGGTATGCAAAAATTGATAAAAACACGTTCACAACCAAAAAAGGACGATTTCACATAAAACTCAGGGGTAACTTTAAAAACAGTGTATATTTTAATGACAATTCTTGGCGAAGTAACTAAGATGCTGAAAACAATTTTAATAGCGTCCTAAACTCAATAAGGAGAATGACACAGAGCTACCCATCTGCTACAGAAAGCAACTCAATGTCCTGTTAACCTGGGGCAAGAATTAGATTTTTTTTCATGAGGTATTCATTAACAGAATACACAATTCTGTGTAAATATTTTCTAACAAAGAGATTTTTATGCATGATTCTTAAGCCTATTCACATAACTACTACACACAGAGCTATTTTTCTGTGTATCAATCTATTTTTCCTTTTGTGTATCCTACTCAGCATTCCCAAATATGAATACAGTGGTGCGTATGCCATTTTGCCACAGAGCAAATTAAAAGGAGCCTTTGCCCTCAAAATACCCAGTTGTGCTTAAATGTTCAATAAAACTCAATAACAGGAAATACATAATGTAAGAGCAGTTCCACCATAAAAGGTCCATATCTCATAAAGGAAACAAATAAACAATAAGCGTCCTATTATCAAAGTTCTCCTACCCTCAGAAGCACTTTCAAATTGTTTCAAAAGAAAGCAGTGTTTTACAGAGAGCTTTCACAGAAGTACAGAATTGCAGGGCTTGGAAGGGACCTCAAGAGATCATGGAGTCCAACCCCCCTGCAGGTACCCTACAATAGGTCACACAGGTAGGCATCAGGTAGGCATCACCCCAAACAGGTCTTGAACATCTCCATAGGAGACTCTACAAACTCTCTGGACAACCTGTTCCAGTGCTCCCTGACCCTTTACTTGTCCCATCCAACAAGTGTGGATACACAAGGATAATTTAAAATAAAAGTTCATGGGTAACTGCATCAATTTTCAAATTAAAAAAAATAATCCCAAATCCAAAAGCTATGTATGTGATCGAAGGCATCTCTGATCAAAGCCCACGTTCATCTTTCTCCACCCTTTCACCCAAACTGAAAACATCTGTACTGTTTCACAGAGGTGATGGCAGCTTTGACTCAGGAACTTTGCTCAAGTTCCAGGTACATACTTGTGCCCGCTACTGCTTGCTTTTTTACATGACCAGTTTGCATTGTGGTTGCACAGCTTCTTTGCCCACAGCCCTCCCACGGTTCTGTTTATTTTCTGGGTTTTCTGCAAAGTCTGCTGTCTTTGCTTGAGAAGCTGAATGGTGTTTACTGCACCACACTTGGTATTTAACACCTCATCTTCCCAGCAGGCTAAGCCAAGCTGCTGGCACAGTCCTCTGCAGCATCACGTTGCTGACTAACCCACGCCCTCCCAAGCTAAGAGCAAGCTCCTGAAGATACAAACGCCTACTATTAGTTGCTACCTGGAAAACATGTTTCATGCACTTCAATTCCAGCTGCTGCCTCAGCTGGAACAAATATTTATCAGGAGACAACTCAGCTTGGCTCACCCCAAACCGAGCTGTTGTATGACAAACATCCCCCAAACCTCTAAAGCAAAAGACATCAAGAAGCAGCATTCATTCTCCTTTTCAGATTTCCCTTGCTCCCCAGCTGGCTGCTAGATAAGAGCTCAGCATTTCCAAGGTATTTTCTTATTAATTTTAGCTGTGCTTACTCAGCCATATGGCCGTGCTACTGAACGATTTTTGATATCCTCTAGTGCATATTCAGATTTCATGAATGACAGTGCAAGAACACTGAAAAATGAAATTGTGACTTCATCTTTCAGAATCACATTTCCTTCAGCAGACAACACTCAAATGATGCAAGTCTGTTTCTATAATTTAAAATACCTTTCCATGGAAGTCTTCTCAGAAGCAATTAATGCTGTGGTTTGAACAGAGATGCTACTAACTTTTCAGGGCCGGAAGTGATATATCAGTGACCTTCTCCATTGCATGGTGCACGCTATAAATATTTGTTCTCTTTCCTGTGTTAATTCTTTGAACAAGAGATAATACTCAAACGAGAGGAGATGCTCTGTGGTTCATGCCAGTGTTCTTCAGTCAGTCAGTTCTTCCATCTCTTACCCCACTTTAGGGAAATTTCTTTTGCACAGATAATTAGGAAACCCTTCCTTGAAAGACACAAAGGCTACAGCTTTTATTTGAGCATCTTTTTCATTTATGTTTTCACTGGTCAGATCATACAGAAAAACAAACTAGGAAACCAGGGCAGTAAAATGTTTCAGCTTGTGCTCCTTGCTCCTTTGGGTGGTCTCAATCCTCAGCCTGCAGTACGAGTTCCTTTCCAAGGCTGAATCAGACACAGCAAGTCCACAGACCCTTGCCTCTCCACCTTCTCCAGCTGCTACCAGAACTAGCTTAACATACAGAAGGAATAATTAATTCTCAGCATTGACCCAGGACTTTAACATCTTTACTAAGTGCAGAACGCATCCCCTCTCTTGAACCTTATATAGCTTTTCGTCATTGCTGGGAAGGAAAATGAAGACAAAAAGGCACCACGGATAGCAATTACTGCTACGAAGATGACTTCAGCTTTCATTGTTTGATAGTTAAGATACAGATAGTTAAGATACGCCTACTTTCATTAAGCTGCCAGGAGATATAACTTCAGTATTTTTAGAATCATACCACTATTTGAGTTGGAAGAGACCTTAAAGTCATCTGGTCCAACTCCCCTGCAGTGAGCAGGGACACCTAAAACTCGACCAGGTTGCTCAAAGCCCCATCCAGCCTGACCTTGAATGTCTCCAAGGATGGAGCACTCACCACTTCTCTGGGCAACTTGTTTCAATGTCACATCACTCTTAATATAAAAAAAACCAACTTCCTTACATCCAATCTAAATCTCCCCTCTTTTAGTTCGAAACCATTTCCCCTTATTCTATCACAACATAACATGCTAAAAGTTCTGTCTCCTCCTTTCTTACAGCCCCCCCTTTATGCAGTGAGAGGATGCCTTCAGGTCTCCCTAGAGCCTTCTCTTCTCCAGGCTGAACAGACCCAGCTCTCTCAGCCTGTCCTCACAGGAGAGGTACTCCATCCCTTGGATCATTTTTGTGGCCCTCCTCTGGACACACTCCAACACTTCTATGTCTCTCCTGTACTGAGGACTCCACATCTGGATGCAGTACTCCAGGTGAGGCTTCCCCAGCACAGAGTAGAGGGGCAGAATCACATCCCCTGCCCTACTGGCCACGCTTCTTTTGGTTCAGTCCAGAGTACAGCTGACCTTCTGAGCTGCGAGAGCACACTGCTGACTCATGGTCAGCTTGCCATCCACCACTACTCCCAGTTCCTTCTCAGCAGGGCTATGCTCCACCCTTACGTCCCCCAGCCCGTACTGATAGCAGGGGTTGCGATGACCCAGCTGAAAGACCTTATACTTGGATTGACTGAACCTTATGAGGTTCACCTGGGCCCCTGCTTGAGCCTGTCTGGGTCTCTCTGGCTGACATATCATCCCTCAGGTGTGTCAACCGCACCATGCAGCTTGGTGTCAAAGTTGCTGAGGGTGCACTGGATCCCACTGCTGGTGTCACTGATGAAGATATTAGAGAGCACTGGCTCCAGTACTGATCCCTAAGGGACACCCCTTGTCATCAATCTCCATCCAGACATTCAGCCATTCACCACCACTCTCTGGGTACAATCTTGCAACCAGTTTCTTGTCCACTGAACAGCCCACTCAGCAAATCCATACTTTCCAATTTCCATGTGCCTTAGCATACATTCTCAAGAATCTGCTCCATGCTTTTCCCTGGTGCAGAGGTGAGGCTAACAGGTCAGCAGCTCCCTGGGTCATCTGTTCTACTCGTCTTCAAAATGGGTACTAAATCACCTTTTTTCCAGTCACCAGGGACTTCACCTGACCACCGTTACTTTTCAAGTATCATCGAGTGTGGTTTGGTGACTATGTTAGTGAACTCCCTCATGACTCTCCTCCTCTTTGGGACCTACAGACTTGTGGATGTTCAGGTTCCACAGGCAGTCACAAACCTGACCTTTGCTTACAGTAGGAGGGGCAATGCTCCCCCAGTTCCCACCTTCAGAGCCATCCACCTGTGTAGAGGAGTCACTGGTGAAGACTGAGGCAAAAAAGTTGTCAAATACCTCAGCCTTCTCTCTGTCTGTTGTTATTAGGCCACCTGCATTGCTCACTAGGGAAGGTATGCCCACCTGGACTTTCATCTTCCAGTTGATGTACCTATAGAAGCCTTTCTTATTGCTCTTTATGCCCCTTGCAAAGTTCAGTTTCAGCTGGGCCCTGGCATTCCTGACCCCACCCTTACACAGCCCAGCAGCATCCCTATACTCCTCCCAGGTTACCTGTTTCTCCTTCCACTTTAGTTGTAAAGACCATAAATGCATAAAAGGGAAGTTCTCAAGTTCTTTCAGCACTCATTATCCACCC